ATCATCCTCCCTAAAACCTTGCACCACCTTGAAGAACTTGATCCTTGGAGAAAAAGTGTCCTTCCTTGTTCATCATCTCACATCCATGCAAGCAAGGATGCCATCACCTTCACTTAATGCAATCCAAAAATGTTATAATTGGTTTAGTTAGGTTCACCTAATGAGGGTGAGACCTAGCTAAATCAATTCCTTGGATTAAATGGAGCAAAACAAGCCTAATATGTAAAAATTAGCTTAGGCCCATTACACGCCCAATTGCTAGCTTCACCTACACACTTTACTATTTGTCACCTCACTTCTACTACTAAAAATATGAAAATCAATGACTCTTAATACAAGGTCAAATGGAGCAAAAATCTCCAAATAACATACCCTAAAATCCTAAAGGGATGAACCTATCATTGGCAGACCCAAAAGTAACACTACAGCTCTTATTTTTCAAACGAAAAAATTACCTCTTTAATGTTAGTTTTTTAAGTTTTTCTTCTCTGGATCAAATTTTAATTAATTAACCACAAATTCTAAATTTTCAATATATTAAAATTTTCGTTTAATCTAAAACATCAAGAAAAAATAATAACTTTCAACATTTTCTAAACTTGTGATAATAAATACATTTTTTTCTATATAAAAGATAGAAAACATCGAAAGAAGGTTACACATTTTACATACTGAATTATAAGGGCTCTTGTGATAAATTGTGTGTTTTATTTTGTAGGTGATGGGCAATGTGAAAATTTTAGAGAACACATTTTGTTGATAATAAAAGATAACACGAGTTTTTTGAAAGAAAAAAATTAATACATATTTTTAAAGATTTGTTAAATTCTTGTTCATGTCAGGTAAAAATGGATTCATTTTATTGAAATTATACAGGTTTATTTTTTTAATATAATACATATTAAAATATGAATATACTTATATACAAAAGGGTCTTATCTATTTTATCGCCCTAGGCCCACAAGATCAAGATTGGCCCTAGCCACTACTTATTGATATTTATGTTGCATGAAAAGGGGAATGATTTGATAAGGATTAAATACTTAGAATAATTTTGGTCAAGTTGTTAGAAATCTCAAAAAAAATTGTTCGAGAATTTGGCAATAACATCGAAAGGACAGTTACAATTTTTTGAGCATTTTGACAATTATCTTGAACTCTTGATAAAATTTTTCAAGAAACATGACTATTTTCGTACCAGTTACTTACAGATGAAGAAAAAAGTTATTGCATTTTAGACATGTAACAAAATTGACCCATGTCAATATTTTGTAATAGACTAGGTAGTTTCTATACACATGGCAAAATCTTAGATTTTGACCCTTAAATTAAAAATTATATAAAATAGGGAACTTAAACTATTTTTTTTTTTGTGATTACATCTCAAACTACACTCCAAACGCCATTCCCATGCACACATATGGCTTCAGGTTCCTAGAAAACTTTGTGTGTAACTTACTAAGTAGAGTAATCTTTCTTTTTGAATTTCATCTTTCTATAACTTTTTTTTCTTTCAATAACTCTTAAAGATTGATAAGTTGGAAAAAAAATTCACCACTTTAAATTAAAAAAAAAATTGAGGATAAGAATAGAGAGAGATTTCTCTCACAAAGCTTAAAGTTTCATTTTGAAATGAGTAAAAAAAACTCATTACAAAGTCATGATTTAACCTATTTACAAGGACCTAAAATTCAATAAAACTCATTCTAAAGAGGCTCACTTAATAAAATAGTATTAATTACAAACTAAATTACCTCCTAAGAAGCTCAATAAAGGTCTAACAATATACTAATTGAAAAAACCACATAAAAGACCAAATAAAGGCCCAAATTACAAATGAAATGGGTAACAAAAATCCAAATAAAAAATATGCCTAATCAATTAATTCTCCTCAAGCTTTTCTATGTGCAACCTTTGGTAGATCTCCATCATCTTATTTTCATATGACTTTTTCTTTTGTGTATGACTCCATTTTATTGTCATTCATTCAGTTTCGATAACCCCTTCTTTTAAATGTTTATCTATGTTAATCTACATGTTTATATTTTAGTCTAATATATAAAATCAACAAAAAATTATAAAAAAAATAATACTATATGCTATATGTGTTCATGATCAATTAATATATTTTAATCAAAAACCCAAAAATCATAGGTGTTTTATATAATCAATGTATTATGTTAATATAATATGTTTATCAATGTCAAAATATATGTTTTTACTCATGTTCAATCTCGTTTTATAGAAAATAAATTAAAAATAAAGATATTTCTTATAGTAAGCTGTAATTGTTAAAGTTTATGTACTTATATATGTTTGTTATTGTTTTTATCGAATTATATCTGCTATATGATTTTGTATTACTCTTAATTAAGTTATATGTTTTCTTTTGTCTTATACTTAATCCTTATCTAAATACTCACACAATTTATAGACACAAAGACGTACCATTTCAATTCAAGTAATTTACATTTTTTTTGTAATCCCTTTCTCCATACTTCTTCTCTAAACTTAATTTTTCATTTTATTCTCTGAGCTATTGATTTATTTACATTTGTGGGATTTGGTTCTCCCTTAATTTTTTCTCCACACCCTTACTATTATATTTCTACAAAATCTCTCTCTTCCTACTTTTTCTTTCTCGAAACTCATACTTTAATTATTTTCCCATTTCTTAAAGTCTTAATCACATACAAATTTTACACAAGTTGAAAATAAAGTACTACTAGTTCAAATAAAAATAATTCACATTCTTTCAAAAGATTCAAGTCATACTAAATAAATTATTTGTATCTGATTCTCCAAATCATGTTTAATATTTGTTTTATTAAAATCACTCCTTATTAAAATTAAAAAAATCATTATTTATTTGAACATGTATGCTTATTTTAAGTTTGCATGTTCAATAGTAGTGATTTTAAATTTTTATAATTTATTTTACATAGAATTTATCCTTATTAACTTATTAGTCTATTTAGGAGTAGGTTAAACATATCTCAAAAATCTTTTAATAGACTAATAAACCATGTTAAAATTTAATTTTGAAAAAAAGTCATATAAGTCTAGAAAGAAATAATCTTATAAAAGATAATAAGTAAGGTTTAGGCCTTAACATATTTAAACAATGCAAGCATATTTAAGCAAAGTCTTGTTGATTCAATCTATTATTACCATCAAACATTAACTTATATTTAAGGTAAAAAAAAAATACATGTGTCCTAAATTTTAAAATTAAGATTAATTTAATTTTAAATCGAAATAAGAATAACTTTACGCTCATAAGCTTTTGAAACATAAGGTTTCTCACTAGAAAATAGAGTTGTCAAATAGAGCTAACAAAGGTTTATCCGATTTGTAAAGAGTTGAGTCATCTTAAAAGAATAGCAATTCAAATCTTGCCGATGTAAAGACTTTGTTAATGAGTAATTTATAAGCACCTCTATAAGCGCTCAGACTCTTGAGGTCTACCCTTACCTTGGTATGCCTAAGAGGCCCAATTCACCTAAACTTTTATCTACCAACAAATTTTAAAAGTCAACCATTAAATCATGTCAGATTGACTCAAATTATTTTTAGAATATTTAAAAGCCAATCGAACCAAATTTGACAACTCTACTACAATCCCATTGAAGTATTGAATATTAAAATGTTTATGGTAGATTCTATCTATAGGCAAACTATTGATCAAATAGATTATTGTTAGTTATTTTCCCCTTATTCTTCTTCTACTTCTCTAAGTACTAACTTCTATGTGATATAATTTCCTAATCAAAACTTCTTTATACATCTAATCCACCAAATACAAAATTCCACCATCTTTTCTACAAGTGATAATTTTATGTAACCTTCTTTATATATATAAATCTTTTTTCCAAGAAATGTTATGTATTTAGATGGAAAACTTTACTAAAGTAACTCAATTTTTTGAAAAATTTCAAATGCTTTGGAGTGAATTTGCTTAAATTAAAAATTTATTTAAAAAAATTGAAATTCTTCCAAAAAAATATGAATTTGAAATTCTTTTTTCTCTTTTTCCTCCTACCTTCCTCTCATCTATTTTAATGTTGATGTAAAAAATATTCATAATATTTTTTAATTATTGAATATATATATATATATATATGTGTGTGTGTGTGTGTTTAAAATCAATTTGTATATATATATATATATGTGTGTGTGTGTGTGTTTAAAATCAATTTGTATATATATATATATATGTGTGTGTGTGTGTGTTTGTGTGTATTTAAAATCAATTTGTTTTAACTAAACTAATAAACTAAAATTTAAAAAATTTTGAATTGACTTGCTAAAATAAAATATTTTAAAAAAATGATGAAAATTAAATAAAGGTAATTCAAATTTTAAGAATTTCAAATTTCTTAAGTCAACCCTTATATATAAAACATAAACAACTATCTTGAAAGTGCTTTTAGAGATTTTTCTTTGACAAGAAGGTTTGTAAAAATTTTCTCAACTTCATATCTAATTCGGTTTTTTTATCATAATTATTCATGAATTAAATTTTAATTTTTAAAATAAATTATCAATAAATAAAAAAATAGTCTTGTGTTTCAATATAAATTATTTATGATAAATCTAAAATATCATTTATATATTTAAAAATATAAACCTTTTCAAAATTTAAATATAATTTATATATTTAAACATAATATTTATTTATATACATAATATATTTTAAATTTTAGTTATTATATATAATAAACATTTAACTTGTGCATTGCACAAACTAAAATACTAATATTTAAAATTCTTCATCCAAACACTATTAACTTTTTTCTTAGTATATTTGCTTAATTTTATCTTTGTCCAATTTATCCACTCAATAAATGCCATATTTTTTTAATTATAATATTAGTATAAAATATCTACTGTCAAAAGTAATAACTAATATCTATCATGAACATATACAAAATAGATATTCTCTTCCTAACTTAATATATTCATATTTAAAACTAAGATTCAAATCCTAAACAACTTGATTAAAAAACCACAAGTTACTACCGCTTGTACTAACTAAATATCGGTAATCAATGCAATGCTATAATTTCAAGGAATCAAAAACAAACTCTTTTGAGGCCTACCCTTTCACTAATAAAGTTCGGAGATCCTATTCAGCTAACCTTTTTAATACCGGGAAAAAAAATCCTTTTAAAATTACTATCCATTGTCAAGGAACAAAGTGGTATCAATGAGCAACAGACAACCTTTAGACTTGTCGCCGTATGCTAGACGCTTTAACTTTAGTTTCTAGCATATTCCTTGCATTCAGTCAAAATATTCTTTGCATATACCACATGCAATGCATGGCACAACACGAACTGATACTTCGTAACATTATTCACCAGTGAATCCGGGTACGTCGCCTTCAAACTTTTCATTGCCTTGTTTTTTATGGGTTGCATTTGTTTCTGTCGCTAGTGGTCCCCAAGATTTTTAGCAACTCACTTGGATATCTTGCCTCGCATGGGAAACATTGGACTTGTTGCCTAGGTTCTCACATCATCCTTACTTGAAATTGAAAAGTAATACCAATAATAAGCCTAAGAAAAATTGCACCCAGTAGTATCTTCTGCTTGTAAAACCAATTAAGACACAACTGCAGAATGACCGAGTACCAAAAGTTATTTCATTCGGTAAGAGTTATCAGCGCACGTTTCCTTGGCATTGTCAAAGCTGTTTTTTGTCAGAAATAAACAGGTAATGTAAATAAAAAATAAGAAGAAGAAGAAGAAGAAGAAGAAGAAAAAGTAAGTTTTCTTCATATGTTTTGCACTGCCACAATCTACCTAAAGGATTGATCATCATCGGAGCAAATTTGTCCTCCTCATGCTCCAAGGCCACTAGACAAAAGAGTGTTGATCTCTCCAATTATATTAACTGGTCTTCCATCAAACATGGATGAAAGTGTACTTTCACAGAGTTTTTTCAGCTCCTTTGTTTTTGCCATAGACGCATCCTGCAATTCACTCAATAGTTAATCTGTCTTCTCTAAAAGAACATGGAGCAGATTGAAAAGGAGGGCAGGGAGAGGATGGGGGTATAACATGTAAAGTTCAGTTGTCAACAGATACATATGGAACATAGTTTTTTTCCGCATGGGTAGCAAACAATTAAGTATGATGAGAAAGAAGGATTATATTTATGTTGCTTAACAAAAAATGTAAAAATAAAATGGAAGGACCGAAGCAATATACTGATCTCTCTCTCCTGGTTGAAGAAAAACTGAAAGCGAAAAATGAAAAAGATGTAACATTGTTCTGTTCTTGTAAAAAACCATTTGATCCCAAATTTTTGTCTTGCTAAAAAAATAAGGGAAAATCATTGATGCTACAAAACAATTTTGCATCTGGATAATGATGCCCACTCTCACCTTACCTCCACAAGTCTGCTAACTATCTGATATGCAAGATTTATGTACTCATTTGTTCCTTGGCTTGATCAAAAAAATTAATCTCACTCCAGAAAGAAAATCACAACAGAGAACTTACATGTTTGATGGTGCTTCTTTTGGGATAAACAGATTTTCTTTCCAAAAATTTTCTCAGGAAATTGATAAAATAAAGTGATTATTTATTTAAAATAAACTTAACTACAGACACTATTTGAACAAATGGTAGACAAGACTCCTGACTTAAGACAAAATCCATTATAAGATTATCCTATCCCATTATTCTTTTTTTATTTATTTATTTATCTTTTCTGGGACTTGCAAATTGCGATGTTTTGACATCACATATTCAATATATGATAACCTAGAATTTTCAATACTCAAAAAATTATTTTAAAAAAAACTCATTAGAACAGTAACTGGTTGCCAAAATAGAATTATGAACTTGTTACTATTTACCAGAATAAAGTTTATCTAGTAATAGTTCGAACTAGCGTAGGGATCAAATGTCACTTCTTTTGCAACACAAACAACAGAGACAAAGGGGGGAAGAGAAAATGGAGGGTTTATCTTACAAATTTGAAAATCAGTCGAACACTAGCAATTCTCTACACTCAAGAATAGCAAGCACACATTGGTAGAACTTACTTGCTTTGACCATGATGAAGATAAAGAATTTTGCAGTTCCATACGTTTAGCAGCCAAGTCCTTCAACCCCTCTTTTAACTTGACTTCATGATGTTTCTTTTCCTCTAATGAATTGACTAGTCTGTCTAGAAATCTGAAATTTGGTCCAACACCAAACTCAATTAACACAAAAATCAGGCACAATAGGAATCCTACTCAATAAAGAAAAGCCAAATAAAGCATTTGACATGATAAATGCTGTTAGCATACTTAAAGTGGATTGGGTGAGTAACTTCAATCTAACAAGTATAATGTAAACAGAAACAGGAAAAAATGCAAGTCCTTCACCCCAAACATTTTAGCATTGTGAAAGATGTAGAAAAGAGAAAAGCATGCATTAACATGTCATTCCGAACTTTAGCTTTTCAAATTACACAGTAATACAGAAATAGACAAGTTGAAATTCACCAAAAATCATCATCTTAGTACACTGTATAATAAATCAATTAGAAGCCTTCAACTATTTCTTTTGTTAATTGTTATGCAAGCCAAACATTCCAAATTTCAAAACAAACTAAATCCAATCCAACAATGGCTCAACCTAAATCATCTTGTCTTGGTTTTGTTTGAAACATAAATCAGTTCTCCTTCAAGGTCACAACTATCATTTCCTGTTAATAATATGTAAGTACATAATTTGTAACTTCTTATATTAGTTTATGTTTTCGAAGGTAAACTTCAACTTCATCTAGTCAACCTAAAATTGCAAAACACAGAAAATATCTGGTACAGTGCGGTACTCTCTGAATGTGTGATGGAAACCCCAAAAAATGGGTGGGTATTATTATTGCAGATAAAAAAATAGAGATTGGCAGATTAATCTACTGCCTCCCTCTCCCAGAGCACCGACTCCGATTACAATCCAATAAAATTTCTCCAATAAATGCCCTCTTTCTCAAGCTACTCTGTATTTATTATCATCTCCCTCAATTAACACCCTAAAATTGATAAAAGAAGATAAATCCTAAAGATAATTTATGATAACATAATCCTAAAGATAAGCTATGAAAATAAATTCAAATAACATAATCCTAAGGATAAAATACGATAACATAATTCAAATAACATCATCATAAATTAGATTTGCTACTTTGAATTGGGTTCTATCAAAGTGCATCTCCAAAGCATGGAATTTCAGGTATAAAAAATAAAGCATCACCTTTTGGAGTTGAGAATCATAATAAGATCCCTTGTCTTCCTATTTGTCAGTAAAGAAATTGCCAAAGAAATATCACTCTGCATTGTTTCCATAGCATCAGCAGCATACTGCTGCAGTACAAAGGGAGCAACTGCCTGGACTTGATTTTGAAGGGACATAGTTTCTTCATTCCTCAATTCAGCCAACCGTTGATTTAAAAAGGATTTCATCTGATAGCACATAGAATCATAACAAAGTTTAAGATTTATTCGGAAAATAAGAATGGAAACAGATAAATCGATACAGGACAGGCAACTGTTTACTAGTAAGAAAAATAACATAAGATGTAAACAAAATTTGCTAGAATTATGTTTCTTTCTCTTTCTAGGAGTGTAATATGATATTTGAAATTATATTACCATAAACAAAAAAAATATATCAGAGTAACAACTGATAACTAAGATGGATATTATATACCTCATATAGATCATCAAGAATCTTATTTCTGTACTCTGTATTTAAAAGCTGGCTCCTTTCTTCCTTGTTTTCTGTCAATTGAGATAAGGCATCCGGAAAAGAAGTCTGATTCTCCAGCACTACAGCTGGGGCATTATCATCATCAATGACATCAACCTGAGGAGTATCCACACTAATATCCCAAGATATATCTGCATGCGAGCCTAGTTCTTGGTTTGATATTGTTGGATCAGATCCAATATCAGAGGCATTAATGATTTCATAAGGACCCAATCCATTACCACTCTCCTCCGTTTCTTCTACGGTTCCAATGTCCCAATCAATTTGTGAACTCTCAACAGAAATATCCCAGTCAATGTCAGGCACAGCAATTTCAGCATTGCTTGTTGCAGGATTCAATTCATTTTTGCTTGAGTGAACATTAACATCATTAATAATCTCAGAGTCAACAGCAACATTTAAAGATGGGGGATTTTCACGCATATTCTTCAAGTTTAGTAGTACATCTCCCAAAGACCTCTGCAGTCATAATTTTCATCTTAAATAACGTATATACTGAACCATGTCAATTCTAATCCCTCCCTTGTAAGGATGTCATTCAGAAAGTGTTGCAAGAATACATGAAGTATTAATAAGAATTAAGAACTAAAAAATAAATAAGAGTTCCAGTTTTTCCTTACATCCTTTTCAGTGTGAGCATCCCTCACAAAATTGGAATAATATTCAACTGCCCGTGACATGTTGTCACTGTTTACAACATCTAAAATTGTGCTAAATGTGCTGGGAAGTAATTTTGCCGTCTCCAAAAGTTCTACTCTGACATTTTTCCCCTGCAAAACAATATAATCATAACCCACTTGTAAAAGGAGAAAAAAAAAAAAAACAAAACCCCCATGTAAAAGGAAAAAAAAAAAAAACAAAACCCCCATGTAAAAGGAAAAAAAAAAAAAACTCAACACAGCATAACAACAACAGAAGTTCTATCCCACTATGTGAGGTTGGTTATATGAATCAGGCAACACTGACTTGTTTTCTCAGATATTCACCATAGAATCCCTTTTAACACAGCTAAATAAATTGATTTCTACACACCACAAACACCCCCAAAAAATGCACACCTGTAAGCCAAGCTCCTGACAAGCTTCAACATATTTGGTAGCCGAAAGGGCGGCACTTCTTTTTATATCAGCCTCTTTGCGATCTAGCTCTAACAGCTGCTGTTGAATCTTCTGCACCTGTTTCTTCTGGTAAGGGCTTCACAATGAAAACAAATTCTCAGCAACAAAAAATCAAACCCTTAAACACCACCTGTTTTTCTGCATGGAAACCAATAGATCACAATGCTCACATTTCGTAGCTCACATTCTGAATCAGAATCTGTGCTGCCTCACCAAGGAAAACATGATCCTTCTCAAAAGACCGTATGATTGCTCCCCATGCACCCTACCCAAAATAATAACAGCCACACTTAATAATAAGGATTATAGCATACATAAGCACATAGCATGAATGATTATAGTGCACATTTTGTTTAAGGAAAAAAACTTAAATATAGAACCTATTTAGATACAAGCTTAATAGAGTTTTATCTAGATAATCGGCATAGTAAAAGCTTGCATCAAATATCAACATAAATTAAGAAAGTATAACTCAAATTTTGATCGATAATACCGTATCTAAATTTTGTCCTTTAATTTACTTATTTTGAAGAGTATCTTACCGCAGAACCTGATAAGCGACCAAATATGTTCCTGCTTTCCGAAGTAGACTTCATAAGAATATCATATATCTGTTTAGCCTCCAAGTACCCAATCCCTGAAAAATAGCATTGCCACTTTGTTCATAACAATTATCCAATTTAACTTACCCACCAAAATTTATATTTACAATTTACAATCAGTGAACAAATAGTAACAGTAATAATAACAATAAATTAATAATACACTTCGATCAACATAAAATTTTGAACCTTCGGGGTCTAGGGTTTGGAAAAAGGGATCAGAATCCTTGGGGAGGGAGGAGAATTCCTTGGAAATTCGAGCCCTGATCGCCGCCACGCGCTTGCGCCAATCCGCGGGTACTCGCTTGCGATCGACCAACCATTCTGCAAAGGTCGCAAATTCAAATTCAGAAACCGAGAAAATTAAAAATTAAAAAAAAAAATTGGTGAGAGAAAAGAAAAATTGGGACCTCCGAGACGAGAGAAAGTGATGTCGATGGGGAGGTTGCGAACGTCATTGGGATTCTGCATTGCGAATGAATGAGTGAAAGTGAATCGAGGGATCGCAATTCGCAAGTCAATAACAAACGCTGCTTCGTTCGTTGTCTTCTTTGGGGATTCAGGTTTCGATTTTGCAGCACGAGACTCGCAAATTCAACGTTTCGTAATGAAATTTTAATGCTATCGTGTATGGATGCAAATTCCACCCAGTTTCAACTGTCCGAGTGTGTGTGTGGTTGAATTGCTACAAGTTGATTCATTTGAATGAAGAGTTTCGTGATGTAATCTCACAAGTAACAACGCTTTGGTTAAAATTTTCTTTATTTCCTTTTTTATCAAACTAAATTAGAATAATTATTTGTAAAAGAGCTGATTTATGTAGATTCTTATATTAATTATTTTATATTTAAATATATCTTCTTTTAATTTAATAAAATTTATTAGTTTGAAACTCTTTAAAAGACATGTACTATAATTAATTATAAAAGTGAAGAATATTAATTAAGAGAGAAAAATAATATATGTAATGTATTTTAATTAATTAAAAAAAATGTGAGTATTAACTATAAGAGGAAAATAATAAAAAGGTAGTTTGAGAAAAATTATAAAAATAAAATGAGTTTATTGTTATCAACTATATTAGTTAATTTTTTTAATCATGATGAATTACTTATTTAGGTTTTATATATAGGAATGATATATTATTAAAATCATACAATTTTGACAAATATTATCACTAAATCATGAAAAGTTTATTAAATAAGATATATAATTTCAACTAAAAACAATATTTTTTTTAATTCATCAAAATTACAATGCAAAAAATAGAGTTTAAACTTACGACCTTGTGCATACTACCCTAACTCTTTCACTATTAAGCTAGTCTTAGTAATTCATAAAATGATTATTAGATAAAGTGTAACTAACAATCCTTGAATAATAATTATAGTTAAGTCAGACCATAGGTTAGGTTCGAGTTGAAATTGATCAACCCAACTTAACTTAATAATGAAAAAACGACTCATTTCTCACTATTAATTGGACTTTGAGTTACTCAAATTTGAATTATTCGGATTATGGATTACACAATGTGGTTTAATTGAGTTAGGTTTTTTAGACATAAAAAAAAATCTTGTCATTTTTTTGGTTTAATCTCAACAGTTCAAAAGGCATAAATTGTTAAATTAAGCCTTTTAAAATCTCCATAAAAATGTTACCTTGGGCCATTTTAATTGTAATCGTGTTATAGGCAAAATCTAATTATTCTCAAACCATGCATTTTGATATGATTGAAATGGTATTGTTTTGATAAACTATTAGTAAAATAAATTGTGTTGTTTTGTACCATTTTATTGGATTAATCTAAAAAATGTAAATTTTGACTAAATATGTAGCCAGTATATGTTGATATTTATGTTATACTTAAAAAAGGGTGATTCAATAAAAGGTAAAAAAAATACATAGAATAAATTTGGGCACGTTGCAAAAAAATCTCAAGAATTTCTATTTGAAAAATTTAGTGGTTACCTCAAAGATAGTTGTACTTTTCTAAATAGTTTGGTAGTCATCTCAAAATATCGACAACTTTTTCAAGAAAATGTGACCATATTTAAAGCACTTAACATGAAAAAAAAAAGTTGTTACATCCATTTAAATATGTAACTACCCAGAGACACACATCAACATCTTGTAACATTCTACCGTACACATATCAAAATTCTAGATTTTGATTGTTAGACTAAAAAAACTATAAATATTAGAACCTTAGCCATTTTCTTAGTTATTTCAATTCACATTCCACTCCAAACACCATTCATGTCACTCATGGCTTCAAGTTCATACAAAACTGTTAGTCAAGTAGCCTCGTATAACTTAAGAGGAGGGTGAATTAAGTTATCCAATTTTTACTCTTTTATGAGTTTTTAGTAAAGCTTTATTATAAATTCTACTTCTTAGACAAATTGTATATAAAGATTAATGATGATAAACTACTCAAACACAATTAAATAACAAGTAATTAAAAGTGAAGGGAAAGAAGAATTGCAAACTTGTTTTATACTGGTTCAGTCAATCTTACCTACGTCCAGTCCTCAAGTCTCCAACTTGACATTTTCACTATTCTTGTAATTCTTACAAGACTTGAATCCTCCAACACCTTAGAACACCCTTTCCTTGTGTTAAGATTCAAAAACCAACAAGGAGAAAACTTTTTCTCCTTTACAGATCAAATGATCAAGTGGGTATAACAGAGTAACTCTCTTTGAAGAGTAGATTTTACACTTTGATGATCTTAATGAACTCTTTAGATATTAATGCAAATGAACTTGGCCAAGAAGTTTTGTAAATATGCTTTTCACAATAGAGTTCGTAACCTTCTTCTAAAAAATTATAGGTATTTATCGACAATTATTTCTTAGGTTGTGTCTTTTTATGAAGAGTTGTAACTCTTTACAATTTTTCAGAAAAGATACTCTAGTAATTGATTACAAGGAATTAGTAATCGATTACAAGGGTTTTAAGTTCAAAAATAATTTGAAAATTTGTGTCTTTTAAATTCAAATTTTGAAGTTGCCTCTTCTGGTAATCGATTACCAAAACATGTTTTTAGCATTTGAATTTGAACCAAGAAGTTTTCTTTTTCTAGTAATCGATTACTTAAACTAGTAACCGATTACCAGATAGATATTACTAGTTTTGCTTTTTGAAAACTTATGAATTTAGAAGCTTTTATTTACCAATCAAAATTATTTTCTTATAGTCTTTTTGAACACTTTACTTTTTACTTTCTTTTTCAAAAAACTTATTCTTATATTCAAAAAAACTAAATTTAAGTATTTCTTGAAATCCTTATTTTAACAGTCAAGTAAAATTTGCAATTTTTAAAAGTTCCTTTTGCATATTAAGCTAAGTTGACAAGACTTATCTAGTTAATTCTTGAGATCTTGTTTCTTGATCAACTTGCTTTAACTTGACCTTTTATTTTCTACAATGTTTTGGCATCATCAAAACTTTGTACATGTATTCTTCCACATTCTCCCCTTTTTTGATGATGACAATTTACTGTAAAAGGAAAGAAAATAAAAATAGTATATTTCGATCACTCCCCGTTAGTAAAAGGATTTGTATTTAAATAGAAATTTGTAGTGATCAAGTTATATTGTTCTAAACATAAAAGACAATTTTTGATCATTAGAAAAACAAGGAAAAAAATGGTATTGTTAAAAAAAATGGTTGTTTCTTTTTAAAAAAAAAATGATTGTTCCTTTTCCCTTGTTCTTCTTTTCCATTTCTCCCCCCTTTGGCAACATCAAAAAGAATAATGCAGTAGACATAGAAAAAGAGATAACAATCAAGAGTAGAAAATGAAGTAAAAACATAAATATTCCAAAACATAAGTATGTAGAGTCAAACTAAAGTAAAATTGCAAATCCTAGAACATAACCAATTAAAAACATGGAAATAAGCAAATTAAAAAACCAAAAGTTCATAATATAATTCGAAGTAACCCTAAGCAAAAGATAAACTAAATGAAACCATCAGAACCAATGTCAACTAGCTACTCGAAAGGTTGGCGAAGAGACTTGACTTCATCCTCAAGACGAGTCATGCGAGTATATAGGGAATCAAACCGTTCGCCAACAAAGAAATGAAGATCTCTAATATCATTTAGAACATCAGTGAGGAGTGCCGAGGAGGGATCCTGAGGTGGTGGTGAAGGAGTTTGATCATCAAGATCAAAAGCTTGAAAATCCCACTTTTGTACCCATGTGTTATATAGTGTCTTCTTATATCTAAGAGAAGCAACCGCAGTGGCCCTAATCTCAAAGGATCACTTAATTGGAACCCATGCTTCATTATCTAGAGGAACATTAAAATGTTCCAGAATAGTAGTGATAAAGTGTGGATAAGGAAGATGAGCATTTGCCCCAAGGCCTTATTCATATGATTCCTAATCAAATGAGCTCAACTAAATTCCTGACCAATTATTAGAGCCCAAATCAAGATTAAGTCTTCTTCAATTGCCTGTGCAAGGTTAGTGGTACGAGGAAGCAATACCCGAACAATTATATAGTGCATGATGCAATAATCAAATTTTATGGAACCAGCTAGTAAACGTCCAAACATATCAGCATCATCCACACAAATCATTTTACGGGCATTAGGATGGGAATAATCTTCTTTCCATGCATCAGTAATTATTCCCTCAAATAGTGTTCCTTGATTACTTAATTTTGATAAATCAAAGAAAAGAGACTGATTTATCACTATTGGGATTTTCTTAACCTCACTGTAAATAACCCCATTCCGGATTTCTAAATTACTATAAAAGACTCTTACTAAGTCGGGATAAACGGGTTTCTTTAGAGACATGAAATCCAGTACTCTAGAATTTTTGAAAATTGTATATTTAAAAGACTCATCCTCAAAGAAATCAATGCTTAGATATTTGGGATCAACAATATTGCGTTCGGAAAATAACTGTAAGTACCTATCCCATTGTTCATCTGTGGAGAACAAAGTGAGAGCACGTTCAGAGTAGGGAAACGGATTTGGTGGAGCAAGAGGGTCATTGGAGGGATTCCGTCGTTGGCGACCGGTGGCGGTTGAATGGGAGGAAGAACCCTTTTGACGTTTGGATGATTCAGCCATTGGTTGAGCATTTTGAAAAATCGAATCGGTAGAAGTGAAGTGAATTGAAAATGATGAAGAATATAAGTAACAGGACTTAATTCCGTTAAGAAATGAGGGAGATATGGAGATTTGAAGGTGTTAGGGCGCGGAGGTTTTTGGGCGATTCATTTTCATGGAAAAGATAAATTTCATGTGCTTTTTAAAGACAGGGACGCTTCTGTAATCAATTACAAATATGTTGTAATCGATTACATGATTTCCAAAATGTGCAAATAGCCCCTGGTAATCGATTACGATCTTTGGTAATCGATTACCATTTTCTCAGTTTTATTCAAACACATTATGGTAATCAATTACAGCCTCTTGTAATCGATTACATGATGGAAATCTAATCCCCAAGGATCCCTTTGG